AATTTAACTTTTAACATTTCTTAGATGCATCAAAGGTCTCAGCCATGTAGTTCTATTAGATTTCTATGCGGATTTTTGTAAGATGTACATGGAAAAGCCTTCCCTGCATTCACTGCATGAGACTGAAGAATATGCAGACAATATGAATTTGAACTTTAATCTTTTTCTTTCTTGAAAAGCCATCTTCAAAAGCGTTTAAATAAACTATACATAGATGCTGGCAAGTTACAAGAGTGAATACAAATCTCTGATCCAATACAAATATTTTGCCGCTCAGCTCATGAGAGCTCACAGCCATATTTAGGACTTCCAGACTTAACTGCAGCATGGCTGTACATCCTCACTGTTGGTACTAGTGTTTGTAATATGCACAAGGCAAGTTTATAAGCTTATTAAGCCTCAAACACAGAAGACAAAAGCTTACAATAAACAAGGATGAAAGGATTGGAGTGCAAATGGCAAGGAAGATGAGATTAAAGTGTGTGGGGTACAACACAGGTGGAAGAGAACTACCACGGGCATGTTTTAATACATTATTGTAATGTTCATTCCTGCAGATGCTGGAAGATCTAGACATACTTTCAAACAACATTCCTGATAGTTAATCCCTCAACTCTACCAGCAATTTGACAGGGTTGTAACACTACAAACAATCTTTATTATGTACTTATCTTTCCCCTCCCTCCCCAAAAGGAAAATCAAGTGCACAGAGTGTAAAGTGCATTTCATATGATTTGTCAGGATGATCTCCTCCTGACTTAGGAATGCATCTCCCATTAACATTAATGGGCAACGCAGACATGCAGAAAAAGGGAATCGTCATTTCTGCTTGGGCTTTGTATATACGAGTGGAACTCCATGCACTTTTTCCTGTCCATTATATCATCCCCTAGGATGGGGGAACAGTAATAGCCAGTGAAAAGAACTATTATGCCTGCATTATTCTTTCTTTTCCCATCAGAGAAGATTCACCACACACACGCGCACAAAAAAAAGAGAATAGACAATGCTAAAATCTTAACAGGCAGAAAGACCATGCTTTTATATGGAGAAGAGGAATAAGTCTCTTAATAAAATACTGAGCAAAAATAGAAATATTAAGTAGTACCGTAAGAATGGTGGAATACATAGCCTAGATTCAATAAAGTATTTATGCACCTTCTTTCCCATCCCAGCTTGAACACAGATGAAATTCAGAAAAAAAAAAAAAAGGCACACACACACCCCTATCAGGTCAGTAATTTGTTCACTAATGTAACTGCATTTAAAAAAAAAAAAAAAAGAGATGACAAAGGGAAAAAGAGGTATGGAAAAGTAAATACAATCATTATTGAGTGAATGCTTAAAGAGTTTTAAAACAGGAAGTTGCTTTAGTTGAAATACCTTTCTGTTTGATTAAAGCAAGCTGTATGCTTGCATAGTCAAAAACAGTCCTTTTATGATAAACCAAGGGAAATATTGAATCACATGCACTTTTTAAAAAATAAAGAATTATATCATTAAATTAAAATCCATGTCTATTCCTATCACTACAACTTTCTAACTTCAGTTTGGTTTTTATACATTTCCTTGAAAGTTTTGGACACCTTACCATTTCACAGCTCATCATTTTAAGCAGTACAAGATAGCTGTGGGAGACCTGAATTCACTCATTCCCAAAGAGCATCAGGCAATTTCCCTCCCAGCTTAAATGCCAAAATGCAAAGGTATGGGAATCCTGCCACAATAACCACCCACAAGCAGCGTCCCCAGCAACCTATGATGCGGCACCACCGCATCAGAGGAGTCACAGGGGCACAAGCCCTTCCACAAGGGCCAACTGCATCCAACATTTACCAGGACAACCTGTAACAACTTTGGAGATCAGCACGACTCTAGCTGGGCTAGTGCAGCCAAATTATACTCTCAGACCCTCTTGCAGATTCATTTTAAAAGGCAGCATGTGTGACCCCGAGCTTCGTATCCTTGTTGACAAGGGCATATTACCTGATGTGGCTGTGAACTGGACCATCTGCTATAGGAAGGAGCACCTGAAGTCTTGTTGGCTGTAGTTCTCTGCAAAATAAAAAGAACAGACTTGTCAAGCATTCAGTGATATCTCAGTCCATTTTGCCAATCAGTTATTTAACTATCCATGGTAGAATTCTCCAAACAAATAAAAAGCTTCAAAACAAAGAAACAGTAAGCATAATACAAACTATAATATAGTAACATTTGGCCATGGACATAAAATAAATAAAGGTCTTGGATCTCATATTCTGATTTTTCACTTCAACTTCCACGTCACCTATACCACCAATGTAAATGCACAGTCTGGCACTAGTATTTTTATCAAATCCTGGGTCCTAACCTTAACTAGAACTTCAGAGCACTATTCTTGGACCAGTTTTCAATAAAAAGAGCTCTAAAATACACCTGAACGCAGAAGGACATTAAAAGTTTTGTCTGCATGGCTGTAGAAGTTGTATGTGTTTTGTTCCCTCCTAATTGAATTCATGATGATGTTACATTGAAAACCTAATATGCAGTTTATTTAAAGCTATTCTTACCTCTCAAAAAATAAGCAAAACTGTTCTTTCTGGATCACTTCACCTTACGCAGAAATGGAACTTTGATATTTTTGGAATTGGTAATACAAAAAGATTACTTATTCACAAACTTCTCTTTGAGGAAAAAAAACAGTCTCCTATGATTTGTCCCTGTACTCTTCCTCCCCCTCGCCCCTTTATTCTTAAGCACTAAGGAAAGAATCAATATCATTAGAAGACAGGTATGTGGCATTTATAATCAAACTGACAATTTTAGTACAGAAGAATCAAATGCAATATGGCTTCTAGTCAAATGCCCCCAATAACTTTAATTGATGCTTGTCCTCAGTTTCAAAACTATTTTTGATCATGAACTTTGATGCAATTTACTCTGATTTAGGCGAATGACCTGGATGAAGGCACAGAGTGCTCCCTCAGCAAGTTTGCTGATGACACGAAACTGGGAGGAGTAGCCGCAGAGAATGACCAGGGGGCAAGCCCAGCTGGTTGGGTAGTGATTCCCTGGATTATCTAAATATTTCTGAAATCCTTGGTGTTCAAAGGAGACCTTTGAGTTGTCTGAAGTGTGCCTAGGTGTGTGTATTTCCTGCATATAGCATATAGCATGGCTGTAGCCAAGTTCAGAACAAGTATTGTGTCCAGTTCTGGTCTCCACAGTACAAGAGGGATGTGGAGCTGATGGAGAGAGTCCAGCGCAGGGCTACCAGGATGCTCAGGGGCCTGGAACATCTGCCCTATGAGGAGAGGCTGGGGGAGCTGGGCCTGTTCCGCCTGGAGAAGAGAAGGCTGAGAGGGGATCTAATCAGTGTCTGTAAGTACCTCAAGGGAGGGAGTGCAGAGGACGGGGATGGTCTCTTTTCGGTGGTGGCCACTGATAGGACTAGAGGAAATGGCCGGAAACTGAAACACCAAAAATTCCATAGGAACTTACGGAAATTTTTTTTAACAGTGAGGGTGACAGAGCACTGGAACAGGCTGCCCAGAGAGGTTGTGGAGTCTCCTTCTCTGGAGATCTTCAAAACCCACTTGGATGCAGTCCTGTGCCACATGCTTTAGGTGTCCCTGCGTATGCAGGGGGGTTGGACTAGATGATCTCTAGAGGTCCCTTCCAACCCTAAGCATTCTATGATTCTATGAAAGCCCACAGTAAGCCAGTCCCTCATTTCTATGTCAATTTAGTGTTTCTGAAAGCAATCTGCAAGCAAATATTATAGTTTGTAAATCCAGGTGTAATAGAAGCTTTGAGACTCTTAATCACACGTGACAATAAGGCTACCTATACTGGGAATATAAACTAGTCTTGAGTTACCTGCACACAAAATCTGAATTTAAACAGGCATCCCAGACATGAGATAATAATTTATCAGTACATTATGTCACCAGCAGGATGCTAATAGGGAGGTCAGATTCATATTTGAACCATATGGACATAAGTTACACAGAAAAAAATGTAAGTAAATCAATCCATGTGAAATTTATACCACAACATAGTATACTCTTTGTAAGTAGGAAAATAAATAGCTTATGGCTTTTAACACCCAAGGATATTTAACATTTCTATGCCAATTATAGCCACCAGGGCTTATACATCATTACATATTCTAGAGGAACTAGCATCTCATTTCCACTAATGGAAAACAGTCACTGATGTAATTGCACGTTTGTATTAGTCTATCAAAGTAAGTTATTTTACAAATTTAATTATTAGCCATACCGTATAGTGTGCTTAGCTTCTAATGGGCACCCTTGGAAGTATAAGGTTTTTTTTAATAAACAGACATGCAATGCAACAGAACAACAACAGTTTCTTTTGATAAAAACTTCAAGAGACAAAATGCACTCAAGGTTGATCTTTGCTTTCTGAAAACTTATGAAAACTATCTCCCTCTGCTTCAGAAGGGAGAATGGGAATCCATGAATAACAAGATAACTGAAGCTTTTATGGAAGCATCTGGAAGCAGTTTTTCATCAAAATATCTTTCCATGAGCGCTTTTCTTGGGAAAAAGAGGGGGGAAAATGCTTTTAGTATCTTTGGAAAGAAGCTGCATATCACGCCTACCTAAGCGGTGTTTGGTTTCTTTCCTCACTCCAATTCCTTCCCCCTCAGCAGGCATTTTTTCCTCTATGGCAAACCACTCTTCTAAACCCTTCCACTTCCATTGGAAGCACATCCCATAGATGGGATCCCATAAAGAAACAGTACTGCAATATTACAAAAAAACAACAGCAGGGCCCTTTCCAGGCCAGACAGCAAATTAATACCTCCAGACACAGCCACATAACACTCATCTACAGCCACTGTTTACAAAGTGTAAAGGGCCAGAGTCTCACTTAGATGCTGACCTGCATCTTCTAATTGCAGTAGGAATCAAGTACTTAGAAATATTTGTGATAACAGAAATAAGATAGGTCTAAATTACTTCAGCATCTACTTTTCCTGTCCTCCCAGACCTTTTAATTCCATTCATATATCACTGAATGGGATCACTTGGGTATAGCAATCAAAATATTAAGTTATAGTCAAAGAGTTTACACTGTTAACATGCACATGAGCCTCCACATTGTATCACATGGAGTAGATCTTGAAAGATGTGGAAAATATTTCTCTCCAAGCTTCTTGACGAGTTGTAAGAGCCACCATGAATACCTGAAGGCTAGACCACATTTCCTGGTTATCCCAGGGCTTACAACACATGAGCCAGGTGATTTTAAAAAAAGAAAAAAAAGTAGAATCAATCAGAATTAGACAATTACCTACCTCCAGGAGCTTGGCGCTTCATGCCTAGCAGCCAAGACCACAACCCAGACCACAGCCTCTCCTCAATGTATGGTTTTTGTATGCAACCACCACCACACAGGAGACATCAAAGCATTGTATTTTCACTAGGCATTTTATCAGGGAGTACCCAGTCTGTACTCAGCTCCTAAACCACTTCCCTTTCTTCAGTCCAAGCCATCTTTCGTAACACAATCCAAATGGAAAAGCAGGACTTGGGAAACAGTCCATCATATGCAACTACTACACCTCTCCCCTCCCCAACTATTAAAAACTAATTAGGACAGGTTGTTCTAATTAGCTGCTCAGCCAAGCTGTTCTCATATAGTCACCCCCTCACTGCCCCCACCTGTGAGGAGGGTTGAGTTCACACAGCTGCAGGTGACCACCTGTCTCCTCAAAAAAGCAGGGAACTTCTGACGAAAAATTCAGAAAAGCACCATACTTCTCACAGTAAATGGTATTTCTGGAGGCAATAAAGCTGCCAAGTGGGCATGCGTTTACCTGAGCTGGAAGGTATGGACAGGAAGGAAAATAAAAGAGAAGAAAACTGGTGTTCTGTATTTGTGTGAAAGCTGCCATGTGGGTGCAGGTTGCGTGTGTGGAGCGCGTGTGACTCCACGCAGCCAGGCTCACACACAGGCCTGGATGGGACAACTGGGGATCAAACTCCAGGCTGGCTCCAGTGAGAACATAAAACAAGTACTTTTCATGGCAATAAAGTGGCCTAGCCAGAGAAAGACCAAACAGTGTGGTGGTGTATGCTCAAAGCTGCTATTTTACACACAATTCACAAGAAAAGTGTGTTTTCTGAGAAAACACATGCTATTCAACAAAATACTATAGCAAAAAAAAAAAAAAAGAACAGAAGAAACTTTTTGTAGACTATAGGCTCTACAGCCCATCCTTCTGATGTTGAAATCTGAGCATGGCTCTGCAGGAGAGTTTATCAAATTACATGTTATTATTTTTACTCTTGGGCTGGGGCTATTGATGACTATATACAGGGAAGCCAAGATTACCAAGATTACATACAGTCCGTAAAGAATTTCTTAACCAGTCAATGAGAGCTTCAACATAAGGTCAGACTTCAAATTACTAAATAAAAGAAAAAGTGTCACTACTCTGGCAGTATTTCAAAAAGAAGAAAAAAAAATGTAGATTTTCTGATATCAAGATTAAAGTATATAATGTGTTCTACAGCAAATCATACTTATAAAGCTTTCTGATGGGCATGGCATGGCAATTCATCCCACTTAGCTTGGAAAAGTATCTTAACGATGGGATGAATTACCCTCTGCTCATATTATGATGGCTCATATTAGATGAAAAGAAATCTACCCACATTCTCCTACCAAGAGACCTAAGTAAATTGTCTTCTCTTAGGTTTTAGAGGGTTATGATCATAGAAAACTTGCTATGTAACAGGAGTAACTTTGAACTGATTTATGAACTCCAACAAAGATTTTTAGTCTTTCAAATACACCTCACTGCTAATGACTTGGAGTACTGTCTTGACTTTCAGGACTCAACAATTTTTGGGCTGGGAAATAAGGGGAGAGAAGATTTTTGTTTGTAAAGAGAGATATATAATGTGAAAGTTAAAGGAAGGTAATAATACTACCCATTTAATGATGTAAAAATGTTTTTTTTTTTTTTTCTTTCTGAGGGAAAAACTACCTGGATTTATACCAGTCCTTCTTTAAGAACAGTTATATGTTATAC